TAATTATCTAAAACTGCCGGGCATGTGAAACAAGCACAGGTAAGCTGGCCTCAGAAAACTCTATTAAACCTGACTGCAAGATGGTTGCATCAATAATTTACTAAGGCAAAAAACAAACAAACAAAAAAAACCTGGTGAATGGAAACAACTACAACCCATTTTTGCTTTCACCTCTCTATCTGTGACTGTTTTATGTTTGGACCTGCCATTAGCTGGTTGCCCGTACTGTGGCATCAAGTTTCACACTCTATGAAATGTAGTGATACTGGGTTTTATCCCTTCTATTACTGTATACCATTTATGTGTACTCACACACGTCAGCTRTAGAACAAGACCTCTCAGAAACTCACTGGTGTGGCTAATGGGGTTCTACATCAAACACATCCCAGTCRGGAACACTGATAAATATAGAGCTTTTCTTTTCATCAGGTTCTCCCATSTTGTTACTCTTTGCTTCTCCTTTATGGGTTACTCATCCACCGCATTTTGTTTTTGCTATGTTTTCCCCCCATTCCTTGTATGCTTTTGTCCAACTCCCCTTTCTCCACATTTTTCATCTACTCTTATTCAATTTCCCACAGGATTTGCTGTTACAGAGGTCTCTCCTTTAGAGGGAGCGGTAGCACACAGTTCTCATTTGGTGATTATGGTGATTTGGGGGAAAAAAAAATACAAAATTGGCAGAAGAAAAAGACATGGAGGAAATGGGACTGAAAGGGTAAAGGGATATGTGTAGGAGACAGGAGGACTTATAACAGACAAAAGCAAGACTACAGGAAGATAGAAGGGAAAGTAGAGCCGTAAAGCTAAAGTTTACAGAGAAATGTGGACCATTTGGTAATTATCCCAGCGAAGCATTCTCTATTCAAGAGCTTGGTTTGCAGCTGTTGATTATGAGAAGTATTTACACACATCCTCAATTACAGATGCAAACACACGCGTGTATTGAAGCACACACATGCACACTTACACACCAGTTTTCTGTCTCACATTTGCTCACATGCTTTGGGCTATGCTTTGTACTGATCGCTGCCACTAGAAAAACACACAAAAAGCTGGCTGATAATATTATCCTATGGCCTTCATATGGTAAAATGGCTTTTATTACTGAGAAACAATTTGAATATTATGGCTTTCAACGGCAGCCCAAGAATTACATGGCTGTCATGGTTTTCAACTTTTTTTTGTCACTTCAGTAGAAAACGAAACTAAATATTAGTGTATTTAGTTTATTTATTTCTTCATCTACAGTGACTTTTTTAAGTGAAGAGAAAATATTGACAGAGAGAAAAACAGAGAGAGAAGTGATTAGAAAGAAAGAAAGATTGAAATAGCGATTAGAAGTATATTAAATATACACCAACAAAACACAGGACCACACACCCAACATCTGTCCGCTCACCTGAAAAAT